CCACTAATAGAGAGCTAAAGAAATCCTCAGCACAGCATGCCGAATTTCTGCATTTGCAAGTAAAGGAAAACCAATTACCCGTGTCCTGTCAGGCAGGTGTGCAAAGCTGGCACCTCAGGACATTCAGCCTGTAATTACTGGCTCAAGATCCTGGCACAGGAAAGCGTTTCATCTGATCCAGATGTTTATTTTTCCTCAAAATGTATTTGTGAACATTGTTTTCAGTTGTTTCACAGACTGCTGAGTAAGACAACAGCCACGAATCAATACTATTTCATGTTGCGCACTATTCTCCTGCAGTGGTTTGTCTTCATTTCCCCCAAAGCTTGTTCCAGTTGCTGAATTAGGTGGAGGAGGGTAGAAGGGTCGGTTTGCAACACTCGCGCAGTTTGATCGTCGTTCTGATTCAGATGTAGCTTCAGAGTCACAGCAGGCTTGATCTGTTGTCTCAAACTTCGGCTCGCAAGCTGCAGGAGGGAACGTGGGCGAAAGGGGAACGGGGAAGCAAACCAACCAGAGAAAATGGTTATCGACTTTCCCATTTCCAGTTCACAACAGCTCTGCAGGACCTGCTTGGAGGACTGTTTAAAAATCCTTTTCGTTCACATCAAAGATAACACACAATGTATTATTTAGTTTTATCATTAGGCAATACTAATCCACTTCAATCGATGCTTTCATAGTATTTCTGAAAATGAGGTGATAATTAAGACCGAGTGTATTTAGTATATGCTGACATTTTTAAAACAGCAGTGGAATTACAAATTCAATTTGCATAAAGCAGCAAATATTTTGCACCATTATATATCCTGTTTATCTTACAACTACCTATCTTTGGTGCAATAACAAGGTTATGTCAGTTGTAAATAAATGAAAAACTGCTGCCTCAATTACTTTGAAATAATATTAATTAATTTTTAGTTGTTTATGATGTTAAAAAAAGTAAAGTAAAATACAGAATACTGAAAACATTAAAAGTTACCTGCACATCCAGTCTCCATTCAAGACTGTGATAGCTGGGAAGCTTTGGTGCCAGCTCACTAAGAATGCTTCTGATCTCTTTCCTGTTATCAAGGTACAGCTGGAGTAATAGTTTGTTCAGTTCATCTGAGAATCCCAGAACGTGAATGGAATCTTGAAAGTCTACCTCAGAAATCTAGAAATAACAATTTAGGCCTTAATATGGAACTGTGTAATAACCATTATTTGTTGAGAAACAAATAAAACTCTAAGTAAACATTATACGTATGGTATGGTGCAGTTATTTAGGAATGCGTGAGGGCAATTCTACAGCAAGGACAAATCATCCATGTGTTAAGTGATTTACACATGTTGATTATTACTGCCGATAAAATATTCAGCATCCTCACATTTAAGCCTTCGTATCAGAAAACAAAACACAAAAAAGCATCTGAGCTTTGTTATGAGGAAGCGCATACTTTGATCATCAATTTTTCAACAGTATGTTAAGATAATATTGATACTTAAATTATAAACACTCTGAAACATTCTGAATGCCTACACATGCAAGCGAGGACCAGGTACAACTTCAAGGCTCACGTTATGGTAACTCAGCGTAGCCCCAAGCGGCCAATTCCCACAGGTCAAGGCCTTTGTGCTGGGCTGAGGCCAGTTCATCGTTCTGGAACCAGTTACTTACTCAACAGAAAGCGTCGTACCTTTACGGGGCATTCATGCCATAAACACATTCTGAGATCAGATATATATGTATACATATTCTTCCATGATATCCCATAATTGATCTGTCAGTCAAGTCACCATACTTGAAGGGAAGATTCTGCAATATTTCAGTCCCTTCCCCACCCTGCTCTTCATAACAATGTCTGCTTGAGTTTAATTTGGAGTTCCTCGTCTCTGTATCCTTTCTCCATGTCTTTGTTGTTCAAATACTGTACTATATCAATAGTAAAAAGTCTTTCCAATGGAAAGAGTAATTATCCAACTATTAATTCTTTTAATACCTGCTTGCACCCACCCAAACTTCCGATGTCAGCAGCTGAAAAAGCTCTCCAAACTAACATACCAGACATCAGGAGTACTCAACAGGGCGTTAGGGCAGCACACATCCTGTGCAGTAGCTGAACCTCAACAACAAAATCTTCACTTGAGTTTTGTTATTTAGACAGAGCTTAATTCTGAAGACTAAATTACTTGCATGTTCCTGCTACGTGCTGTTAAAACGCTGTCAACTTTTAGCTTCAGACACTGAATACCAATTCCAGTCATCCACGCAGACGCAGTGTTTCAGTAAAAGAACAGCCTGAGGCACCTTTTTAATTAAAAGAATACATGCCATCCGAATTTTGACCTCCCCACTCATCAGTATTTTCAGAACTGGAAGCGATTAGAAGACATCACTTGAGTCTACCCCTGGATTCGTTGCACAAAGGTGTCCTTACCATAAGCTTGGAGCTTTCGGTGAGCAGGTACATCAGTCCCTCCACCCCATGCTGGATGGTGTCTGCACCCACGTTGAGTTTTCCTTTAAAGAAAGCACAAAGTGCCTTTTACTTCCTCATTAAGCTGCCGCAGCAACAATACAT